GGGCCAGCGGTGGGGCGGCCGTGGGGCGGCCGTGGGGCGGCCGGGACCCCCTAAACGGAGGTGGTACACTCGCGGGTGATAGGCGAGGTGGGTAACTCGTATTTTGGGGTGCAGCGGTCCAGCGAGCTGGAGGTGCGGAGCGGGAGCCCGCAGCGGCCCGGGGGCTGGGCCCGGCGCCCGGCCCCGCAGCAGCACAGCACCCGCAGGAACTCCCGGCGCATGTCCTTGCTCCGCAGCGTGTAGATGATGGGGTTGGCGGCCGAGTTGAGCATGGCGAAGGCAAAGAAATAGTTCGCCTTATAGAGGATCTGGCAGGCCCGGACGGGGCAGGAGGCGTCCATGAGGAGGATGATGAAGGCCGGCAGCCAGCAGACGATGAAGGCTCCCAGGACGATGGTGACCGTCTTGAGCAAGGCCAGGGTCTGGGCGGTGGCGATCTCGGCGTGGCTGGAGCGCACGATGCAGTAGATGCGGCTGTAGAGCCCGACGATGGCGAGGAGGATGACGGTGAAGATGGTGATGACGAAGAGGATGTAACGTTTGGAGTAGAGGGGGAGGACGGTGGAGCAATCCCGCAGGTCGCTCATGCAGTTCCAACCCATGATGGGGAGGCTGCCGATGGCGGCGGCGATCACCCAGCAAGCCCCGATGAGCAGCATCATCCGACAGTTCTTGTCGCTGCTGTAGACCTTGACCTTGGTGATGGCCACGTGGCGCTCGATGGCGATGGCCAACAAGCTGAAGACGGAGGCGGCCAACGTGGCGAAGGCCGTGCCTTCCCGTACGAACCACTGTACCGGTGTCAGGTTGAAGGTGGTGGCTCCGGAGAGCAAGGTGTTGGCCATGAAGGCCAACCCGGCCAAGAGATCGGAGAAAGCCAAGTTCCCGATGAAGATGTACATGGCCGAGTGAAACTTCTTGTTGCGGCAAACGGAGATGAGGACCAGCAGGTTCTCCAGCACGATGAAGCAGCACAACACGACGATGAGGATGGAGACCACCCAACGGGAGGTGGGGGGGGAGCTGTCCGAGCCCTCCTTGGTGTAGTTGTAGTGCTCCCGGATCTTACCCGTGTTGAAGTATTCCTTGTAGATGCTCCCCATGGTTCCTCGCCGGCCGCGGCTCCGCTCGCCGCCCGTCCCGCCGACCTCAGCGCTGCCGGGACATGGTGCCGGCGATCCCGGGCTACGGAGACCTGTGGGACAGAAGAGACGGGGTGAAAACGGCGGTGGGGTCGGCGAGGAGAGAGGCGCGAGATCCTGTCGCGCGGCATCTGCGCCGGCACGGCAGAAATGACTCAAAAAGGAAATCCTGATGGCAGGCGATAAGAGGTGCACCTTCGAGCCGGCCGGGGTGCAGAGTGTGGGACCATCCTGCCGCCGCCACGGGGACACGCGGGGGGCTGGCGGTGGAGGCCCGGGGGGAGCGGGGCCCCGGCG